GAAGAGAAGAGAAGAGGTAAAACAAGAGATTTAAAAATTTGTTTGACATCAGAAAGGATACTTGGCCAAATGCCTGGCCCACCAGAGGCTGCACTAATGTCCCTTTGTCCCTCAATCAGTGCACTCTTCACAGCCACTATCTCTGGGAGGCCAGTGAAGATGGATCACGAACCACTGGGGCTGCCTCTCCAACCCACTCCCTCTAGATCCAAATCTCTTAAGATTCTCCTGTCTCGCTCCCTGATTCTGACCCTAATACGCATCACCTGGTGGCATATACTTGCCACGAACTATTGGAGACTCACTGGTCAGGAGTTCCAGTCCAGGCCCCTGGACCAAAGTCCTAACTGGTTCACCTGGTGTTTGAATGAGGCAGTGTGGACTTTGGAGTCAGGCAGCTAAAGGTTCAACTCTGGGCCCAGTAAGAGGCAGGGGCCTCTTCTTTCAATCATGCAGCTACTTAACCACCTGGTCTGTGTCACAGACACATGGCTGCTCCAACTTGCCGGGCTCTGCAGTACAGGAGCAAGTTGGGTTGCATGTTTCCAGCTCAGAATCATCACTGTGGACTCTGCAGAAGGAAAGCCAAGAAGCATATTTCCCAGAGTCACCTGCTTATGGGGTAGATATTCAGTGAGAGGGATTCAGACAAGATTTGGAAGGCCATGGAAAAGGCGCTTTCCTTTCAGCAACTGTAGACTTCCAGGCAGATGGTGGCTGTGACATTTGCAATAGCTTCCAACAAATTACTTGTGGGCAAGTGAGCCAGGTGGCTGGGTCTTTTCAAAACTTCTTTCAGCTTTATAACCATTTCTGAGCAGGCTGTTAGGAGTTACTTTCCATATGGCTGGCTGTGGTGGTGCATGCCTGAAACCCCAGAGCTGTGGGAGGCTGAAGCAGGAGGATTGCAGGTTTGAGCAGAGTCTGGGCAACTTGCCAGTTTAGTGAAGCCCTCTTAAATTTTTTTTGAATTATTTTTTTAAAGGGCTGGGGATGTAGCTCAGTACAAAGCTCTTTAAGTTCAACTGCCAGTATCACAAAAAAACACAAAGAGCAATGAAAAAAGCACACTTTCCTTATTGCTACAGACTGAGACATCAGATTTCACAGTGTTTCAAGATTCACAGTGGCCTGCAGTGAGCTCTTGAGAACCATCTGCCTCATTGTGGCAGGAGATACAACAACCTGTGACACGCCTGGCCTTCAGTCCCCCAGTCTCACAACTGCGTAAGACTCGAACTCCACAGATTAAAACCCCCTGCATATAGAATAGATTCTGTCCTCCTGACCACAGAACAAAGTCCCTCCCCTCCCAAGGGCTTGTGTTTCTAGTGGTCTGGGCCAAATGCTAAACAGAGGAATAAAGTCTACTTTGCTTAGGGTGATCAGGGGAGCCCCATCTGAAGAGAGAAATTTTAAGCTGAGCCTTAAATCACCCCAAGTAGATAGCCCCTGGAAAATCCAGCAGAGTAGCTTTGCAGGTGGGGGACATCAAGTAGAAGGGCCCTGATAGTGACACAACTCCTGGATACTGGATGGTTATTAAGCATTGGGTCCATGAGCCAACAAAGGCACAAAACCTGGTAAATTCCATAATGGAGGTTTGCTCAATGTACAATGGAAATTCCAAGGAAGAAGCAGCAGCTAGGAAGTGGACCCTCAAGGTTTTCCTGTCTGACAATGTTTATGTACTACACGAATCAAAGAGAACAATAACAGGAGAGCAGAGAAGGACCCTCTGCCTTTACTCTTCTGCCTCTGTTTATCCAGGGGCAAGGCATTCTGGACAGACATTCTCTGAGGCATTAGACAGGAGGATTTCTCACATCCGACTGCTGCTTGCTCTTACACAACGTATTTGTCCTCTATGACTAGAAAGCAGCTAAACTAAAAATCAAAAATGTCTTCAGGGGCTGGGGAGATAGCTCAGTAGATTAAGCGCTTGCCTGGCAAGCACAAGAGCCAAAGTTCAATCCCTGGTTCCACCAAAAAAAAAAAGTGTCTGCAGATGTGAGGGGAGAAGGGATTTAATGGGAAGGGACATTTATTTGCATTGACATGGATCTGCTAGGAGGATCTTGATACATAGATAGACATATATTTTTTAAAACCAAAAATGTTTGTCCCCTACTGTTGCCATAGTGACACCAACTAACCAGATGGGACCAGAAGATGTGGCAACTAAAACAGGCCACAGTCAGGTTGCTGAGGTTTCAGCCTCCCCTCAAGCCCTTCCCTCTTCTCCCACCTTAGTTTCCCACCATACTTGGGGCACAGAGGGAGAGGGCAACACCCAAAGCAACCTTCTGAAAACAATCTGATCACATTGGTCCCTTGTTCCGAACCAGTCAGGGTGCCCTCTTCCCACTCAAAATAGAATCCAAATACCTTTTAGTGCCTGCTCTGCCCTACTCACTGAGACTACTCATTGTCCCCATCCTCTGTCAGAAGCTACAACCAGGGCTGGCCAAATAACTCAGCAGATTAAAGCCCCTGCTAAGCAGGCGCAGGGGCCAGGGGTTCTATCCCTAGGCCTGCCGTGCCAGCCCCACCCCTGGGGCACCCTGAGAGGGCAACTGAGACTGGGCGTGGTGGCACACACCTGTAATCCCAGCTCTTGGGAGGCTGTAAACAGGAGGATCACTACAAGTCTGATCTAGTAGTGAGACTCTGAACACCCCGTAGGCCCTTCCCTAAAATACAAAAAAATGAAGCTACAACCTGGCAGTGCTTCTCCTTCTTGGACGTCTGCACATGCTGGTCTCAGTGGTCTGGCTGGCCAAGGCATCCTCCAGCTGTAAAGAGTGCTCACCTGCTGAGAGGCCATGCTGACCCCTCACATGGGGTAGCTCTCCTGGGTATGTCCTCCTAGGGCATGACCACTTTTCTTTCTCATGCTCACCGCAGTGTACAATTAGACCTTCATTTGTTCACCATCTCCTGTTCAACTTCACCAAGAACTCTTTCAAAGCAAAGTCTTTATTATTAACACTTCTAGCCCATTGCCTAGCACAGTGCCTGGCATGAAGTAGATGCTCAATACATGTTTGTTACTCAACTCACTGTCACCCCATCTCTGCTCTAAGGAAAGGAAGAAGATGGCGCACCATCTCCTGATTCAAGGCTGGAGGAACAGGCACTGAGAAGGGGGTACCCAAGTACTTTTAGGGAGCCAAGCCCAGTCAGCTGAGCCATGCTAAGGAGATAAGATCCCTGGCAGGTGGTCCCAGTTGCGGATGAGGCTCCTCCACCCCACCCTGGAACCCACCTCTCTGTTACCCCCTCCTTGGCTAGTCTCTGGGATCGATGGAATAGCTACTATAGTGGGAACCAAAGCCAAACTCACTCCTAGGTTAAATTATCTGGTGCTCAGAGGGTTGGTCATTCCCCAAAGCAACTTTTTCTCCTTAATAATAATATATCAGGCTACAGTTATCAAAAACCCTTACAAATGTGTTATTATATGTGATTCAATCCCCCCCCCCAAAAAAATAATGTATCAGGGGCTCAGGAGATAGCTCAGAGGTTTAAGGACCTGCCTGGCAAGCACAAGGACCCAAGATCAATCCCTGGTACCACATGCTGTGCCAGCCCCAAAGTCAGACATGGAGGCCCAGGCCTGTAACCCCAGTGCTAGGGAGACTAAGACAGGAGGATCACTATGAGTCTGAATTGCATAGTGAGACCCTGTATCCAATAAAAATAATTTAAGATGATGATGATGATGATGATGATGATGATGATGATGACGACGACGATGACGTACTAGTACATCCGGCACCTAGAATGTGTCCTGAGCTATGTACAAGAATCTTGACATTTAATCCCCCCAACAGTCTTGTGAAGCAAAGATTATCATTCTTCCCATTTATCAGATGAGGATACTAAGCCTTGGAGAGGCTAAGAAAATTATCTGAAATTACCCAGCTTCGAAATCTAAAGAGCTTGAACATTTAGCCATTAAATCCTATTCCTCTTTAAATATAATCCTTCCCCTTCTGACCAACCTCCTGCCTACCCGTCAAGCAGAGAAGGTCCTGGGGTCCTCTCAGCAAGAACAAGCACTAGCTAGGGGTACAAGAATCACAACTGGAGAGTCTGTATGTGTGACCTCAGGAGAGGAATTCTATCATTCCTTGGGAGAGTTTGGGGATGAATCAAGATGATTAAAGAATACTAAGTAAATTAAGGATACCTTTTATGGGCCGGCCAAATAGCTCAGTGAAGTAAAGTGCCTGCAAGCAGGCACAGGGGCCAGGGGCTCAGTCCCGGGCCTGCCGTGCCAGCCCAGTCCCCAGGGCACGCTGAGACAGCAACTGAGACTGGGTGTGGTGGTGCGTGCCTGTAATCCCAGCTCTTGGGAGTCTGTAAACAGGCAGATCACTAGTCTAACCCAGTAGTGAGACCCTGAACACCCTGTAAACCCTTCCCTAAAATTCAAAAAAAAAGGATACTTTTTGTTTGGGTTTTTTTTTTTTTTTTTTGATACAAGATATCCTGTATTATAGTCTGACCTTTTGTCTGTGTGTGCGTGCGTGTGTGCGTGCCTGTGTGCGTGCCTGCGTGCGTGCATGCGTGTGTGTGTGTGTGGTAGCAGAGATCAAATTCAGGACCTTGTGCTTGCCGTGCAGGTGCTTATGTCACTGAGCTATCTCCCAGGCAAGAATACTAAGCAGATTAGAAAGCAGTTCTTAAAATGCAGAAAGTAGGGGCTGGGGAGATGGCTCAGTGGAATAAGCACTTCCCTGGCAAGTGCAAGGGCCTGAGTTCAATTCCCGGTTCCGCAAAAAAAAAATAAAATAAAATAAAAATGCAGAAAGTATTAGGTAATTAGTGGCAGCTGTCATCTTAGACCCATCTTGAAATCACAGGAGTTCAACATAGAAAGCTTATCTCTTGTTCACCTCTCATTCACGGGCTGATGCTGGTTCACACCTCTCCCCAAGGGGCAACTGAGGAGCCCAGGCTACTTCTCACATCTCACAGCTCCGTCTCTGAGGAATTCTTTCCACCCACCTGGAGAAGAAAGACAGAATGTAGGCACTTCGGACTGCCTTGCCCAGAAAGGCCTGTCATTCCCCACCCCACCTCCCATACATTTCCATCACCTGAGTTTAGCCACATGGACCCAGCAGAACCCCAAAGGAGGCTGGGAAATGTAGTTCCCTGAGTCCCTGGGACTAGAAAACAGTAAACACATAGCATTCTCTTTACAATATTGTATAGGAAATAAAATGTGATCATTGTATCTCTTGTGATCCAGCCATGAACAATGTTTATGCAATAATTAATAATTTAAATAATAAGATCTGAATATTCATTTAACCAAAAATGTATAACATAATAGGAAGATAAGGATTTTTTTTTTTTTTTTGCTCCTCGAATGCCTTCAGGGCAGGAGTGTTGTGGGGATCGAACTACAGCAACCTGAGGCTGACAGCCTTGTGGAAGCAGCCACTTAAAGAACTGAGCTAGGGCCAGGCCCCTTAGGAAGATGAAAAGGGTAGAAGTAAAATTAGTAGTACCGAGAGGAAGTTACTAAGATTAGGGTGAAAGAGCTAACTCTTTTTCCATGGTATAGAAAAAATTTTATCCAAGAAGTAGCAGTATATACAGGTTATTTAGAAACATAGTAGAAAGTATAGAAGATACCTTAAAAGAACTCTAACCAGGCATGATTGCATGTACCTGTAATCCCAGTACTCCAGGAGACTGAGGCAGGAGAATCACAAATTCAATCTCAGCCTAGATAACTTAGTGACTTAGCAAGGACCTGTCTCAAAACAAAACAAAACAAAACAAAAAAAGATTGGGGGATACAGGTTGGTGCAAAGGACCTGGATTTAATCTCCAGTGCAATAAAAGAGAAAGAAAAAAATTCTCATGTCTAGGAAGTTGGAATCAGAAGTGGTGTAAGATACTGCACTCTTTTAATTTTTGTACTAGGTACTCACACTTTCTTTTTTCTTTTTTCTTTTTTTTTTTTTTTTTGCAGTACCAGGGATTGAACTCAGGACCCTGCACTTGCCAGGCAAGTGCTTATTCTACTGAGCTATCTCCCCGGCCCTTCTTTTTTTGTATTTTTAGGACAGGGTCTACAAGGGTCTATACAATCTCACTACATAGATCTGACTTGTAGTGATTCTCCTGTTTTCAGCCCACCAAATGCTGGGATTACAGGCTTATACACCACGCCCAGTCTCAGCATGCCCCAGGGGTGGGGCCAGCACAGCACACCCTGGCTGCTGCACTCTGCCTAAGCGGGCACATTAGTCCACTGAGCTATCTGGCCAGCCCTCTCACACTTTCTTGGTTAAAAAATTAAATTAAGTCCACTTTTCAGAAGAGAAAAAGAAAAGAAAGTAACTTTATTGCTTCTCTATCAAACAAAGGGTAAGGAGAAGAGCTTAAGAAACTTACTGTAAGGAGCCTGAATAAACCGCTGAAGGAAGAGCTGTGTGTTGCGTCGTCCTTGCTGGCAAGGTCGTGCGCGACAAGTGGTGGCCCGTACGGGGAACGTCGTCTCAAGCCAGCAGCTCAGAACTTTCGGCGGTCAGGGGGGTGCACCGTGCTGGGCCTAAAGGAGATAACATTTATGAATGGAGATCAACTATACTTGGGCCACCAGGTTCTGTATATGAAGGTGGTGTGTTTTTTCTGGATATCACATTTTCATCAGATTATCCATTTAAACCACCAAAGGTTACTTTCCGTACCAGAATCTATCACTGCAACATCAACAGTCAGGGAGTCATCTGTCTGGACATCCTTAAAGACAACTGGAGTCCTGCTTTGACTATTTCAAAGGTTTTGCTGTCTATTTGTTCCCTTTTGACAGACTGCAACCCTGCGGATCCTCTGGTTGGAAGCATAGCCACTCAGTATTTGACCAACAGAGCAGAACATGACAGGATAGCCAGACAGTGGACCAAGAGATACGCAACATAATTCACACAATGTGTATGCAGTGTGAAGGGGCAGGAGGCGTCTTCTCACTGTGCTGCAAATCTTTATAGCCTTTACAATACGGACTTCTGTGTATATGCTATACTGATTCTACTCTCTGCTTTTATCCTTTGGAGACTGGGAGACTCCCTAAAAAGGTAAATGCTATCAAGAGTAGAACTTTGTAGCTGTAGATTAGTTATGTTTAAAACGCCTACTTGCAAGTCTTGCTTCTTTGGGATATCAAAATGTATTTTGTGATGTACTAAGGATACTGGTACTGAAGTCTACCAAATATTATAGTGCATTTTAGCCTAATTCATTATCTGTATGAAGTTATAAAAGTAGCTGTAGATGACTAGGAATTATGTCATTTGTATTAAACCAAGATCTATTTCTGAGTATGTGGTTCATGCTGTTGTGAAAATGTTTTACCTTTGTCAGTTTGTAATGAGAGGATTTCCTTTTACCCTTTGTAGCTCAGAGAGCACTGATGTATCATCTCAAACACAATAAACATGCTCCTGAAAAAAAAAAAAAAAACAAAGGGTAAGGACACACACCAGCTGTGACACAGGCTGCCAGTAAAAAGCAGAGATCCAAAGGCACAAGTCTAGCAAAATGTACCTGGCCCCCCAGCTCCCATCACACCTCAGAGAGCCACACTCAGGCCAGCACAGCTGTACACCCTGCGGTGGTGTCCCAGAGGAGGGACCTTGTGTTGGTTAGGGCAGGCCTGGGAACGTAGCAGAAACAAGCCAATGCCTCTCATTCAAGTACTCCCCTGGGAAATAACAGTGCTCTGCCCCACCTGGGCCTGAAAGAGGATGCTCTACCTTAGAGCTGGGCCACAGGTAGCACAGATGCCACAGCTGGAAAGAAACAAAGGAAGGAGCACACCTGTTCTTGGGTATTGCAGCCCAGAAATGATACACATTATGTCTTGTCATGTTCCACTGAACTATTATCCCCTGGGAGCCAGAGGGCAGAAGAACTGGACTTTGGCACCCACATGCAGTGCCTACCCAGATCCTGATTCTAGGTCCCTGGGGAACCTTCAGAGGGTTATAGAAGACTGCAGGACCATCACCTGGGTGGGGAGACACAGGGCTTGTCAATCAATTACAGACTTGCATCAGGCTCGAGTGGGGCCATTTGAGTCTGTGACCTAAGCCTGAGGTAGGCCAGAATTTAACAGGTAATGGATTATTATCTCAAAGCAAGAGGAAAATGGAGAAGAGGTCACAGGGATCAAGCATCCAATCCACTGCCAAGCCTCTAAGGAGAACCTCATCAAACCAGCTCCGAAGAGCACAAACTAATGGATCACTGAAAACTGGACATGATTTTTAAACTACTAGCAAAGTTCCCCCTGGGGACCCACCAGATCCTTTCAAATCTAACCTTCCATTCATTTCTTACAAAAATGACATAAGACCTTGTGACCAAGCACATCAGCCATCAACAAACACCCTCCTCTCATCTCGCTCCAGAAGAGATGATGGGTTGGTAGAAACACAGTCCCCGCTGTCCTGCAGGGGGCTTATTTCTCCACATCTCTCCTTGTCTGGACACACAAAAGCTGCTCTCGAAGTTGCCTGAGGCTTCTAAGACAAGGAAGCATTCAATCCTGGGCTGTCGCTACAAATGTAAAGATCATCCCTATAGTCAGGTAAGGTTCTCAGAAAGGTGACAGCAATCACAGTCACAGAAACAATGGCCAATACTTGCTGAGTGTTTTTGACACATAAACATTTTACTGGCTTCAACACTTTTGACCCTCTCAAGGCAAGAATTGCCATCACCCCCATCTGACCAAGGATGGAAGAGAAGAACCAGGAGTTGTGGTGATTTCCTCGGGTGCACACAACTAGCAGCCAGGGGGGCCTGTGTGGGACCCCAAGCAGAGTGATGCCACAACTCATGGCCTACAGTCGTCTCACAAAGTTTAAGTTTGGATCTTGGGTCTACCACTTCACACACACATGATCTTGAGAATTTCATTTCCCATCTTTGCTGCTCTGTTTCTCCTCCAATGAGGGCGCTAATACCTACTTTCCTAGTGATCGTGGGGCATTACATGGAACAGTCGCTGCAATCGTATCAGCACAGACCTGACACAGAACAGGTGTCACTGACCTCAAGCTCCCTTTTCCTATGTGCATGCAGGAAGAGATGGGAGAGGCTGAGGAAGAGGGGCAATTATAAACTCCTGGAAACTTTGAGGAAGTCAGTTGACTGCAGATGACAAGGATGCTTGCAGAATGAGGTCCCAGGCTTCTCAGGCAGTCCTAGGAAGAAGACAACACTAGCATCTGGGCAGTTTACTCAGGGTGTTCGAAGCAGGACGGCTGTGTACAGGCAGGCAGGCAGGCAGGCAGTTTGCCCACCGGGGCAGCCCAGAACTGCGGCTGTGTGTGGGGAGTGTGGCATGGAAGGTTTGCCTGGTGTCTTAAATCCTGGAGTCTCAGAAATGGAAGAGGGGCCTGAGCAAGTGACACTCAGTGAAGCCTTCCCAGCACAAGACAAGTATTTGACATTTATTGAGTAAACAAATGATGGTGAGAGACAGGAAGAAACAGGAGATTATGTTTAAGAGACCAGGTAAGAAATGTTGAGGGTTCCAAACTAAGGACAGCCCTGGAGAAGGAAGCCCAGGCAGAGTGAGGTTCTAATCACCTCACTAGCTAGCTGTTGAGGTTTCACTGGCTGGTTTAGACTGGTTGATTAACTGGTTGGTCTGCAATTCCCACATATAGCTGTGAGTCCCATGGAGACTGGCAGGCACAAATGTGCCCAACCCCTACCCACCCCCCACCCAGCAGCAGGGCAGCCTCCCTTTCCTCTGCCCTCCACGGCAGCTGTTGGTCTCGTTTTGGAGACCCCCACCTCCCCACACCTCCCATGTTGACTTTGTCTGTCATCCATTACACAGACTGGTGTCCTTGGGAGATCCCCCCACAAAGGCCAGAGTCAGTGCAAAGGCTTTTGTCCCCTGCCACACTGCCCTCTCTGAGCGGTGGGCATTCGGGTGGTTCCCAGCTGCTTGCTGTACCAATGCTTGGCCTTCCAGCCTTGCCCAGGCCTGTGCACAGCTCCACTCCTGGCTTCTCTCCCCAGCTTCTGAGTCAGACCAGGGCTGGAAAGCTCTTCAAAAACACCTGAGGGCCACCGCCCCAGCACTGGAAAGAACAGAGGAGACCCAGATGTCTGCCCCTGGGTGTGCAGCATCAGCCTGCGTGGGAAGCCACCTGATAAAAATGGTTCCACACAAAATTCCTTTTCCTCCACCTACAGCCCCTTGCCTACAGTCATGGCTCAGCTTCATCCATCTCAGCGGATACTGGTTGTCACTCTCCTGGGGCCACAGCTCTGCACAAAAGCCTCTCTAACACCCAAGAATGACACATTGGCTTGACAGCTTTTAATCTACATAATATTTACAATGAACCATAGAATTACAGAGCCAAGGATTTAAACTGAAATCTGAGCCATAACAAGCTGACTCTCTGAACTCTGAAGAAAAATCCAGACTATTTCTTTTCCTGAACTATGTATCAAAGCCAAGTTTCCCAAGGAACAGCCAGTGAACCCTACCTTGTTCATGGGCTGTGGGGTCATTAAAATTGGTCTCATTTGCCGTCTGCAAATAAGGACAAAAGTCACTTCCTTGGGTGGTTGCAAAGGCTAAGGTGAATGATATGCTTATGGTCCCCAGGAGGTCCCAGGAAGACTCAGCCCATCAGCAGCCCCCCAAAAACCCTTTGCTATGAGAGGAAAGACTGGCATGAGGGGAAAGTGGCTGTAGGTTTAAAGACACCTTGCTTCCTACTGTGTGACCTCCCACTCTTGTAAGCTCATCAGAGGCACCTGTGAGCCCTAAGTTTCTCTGATATTTCCCTGCCTTCCCACGTCACCTGTGGTCCCTGGGACTGTTTAAGATGTGCTCATACATAAATGGGGCCAGTGTCTGGGTGGTGTTTGAGGGCTTGCTCTTCCTGTGGCTCCAGGGGATCTCTGATGCCAACTCCATTCCTACAGGGACACTGCACCCATCCTGCTCTGCTCAGCCAGTTCTGATTGAGGGGCCTGTAGGGAGCACCCCACCACAGCCTTTCTCATGTCACACTCTTGCAGGATGACCAACTTTGTTAGGATGGTGCCCCCCAATCTGAGAGTTTGGGGGGACTCTGACTCTCCACTTTTCACTCAAAACTGAGCCAGGAGACAGGGCACAAGAACAATGGCCACACTGCTCAGAAGCACTCTGGGCAGCTAGGTCAGAAGTGGCTTCGATCCCTCCTGGGGGTGTCTAGGGGCACCCTCTACCAGGTCGATGGTTTGAGCCTCACCTTAGTACAAGATGGACCCAAATCTGCAAAGGGTTCCCTCTAGCTGAAACTCTCATTGGAGGGACACCCCTAGTCGGTGACCAGCAGCACACTTGTGACACCTCCATGCCCTCCAAACTGAACTCGATCCAGACTCCAGGTCTTTGCCATAGAAGAAGGAATATGGAAAGGTTTCAAAACAAGTTTTATTGGTACAAAGAATTAATTTATAAGGCAATTAGAATACAACATCTTACTGGACATTGGATGATATTAAGAATTCTGTCCATTTATTCTAGGTGGTAACAGTAGCACTGTGGTTGTGTTTTTTTGGTGGTTTGTTTTTTGATACAGGGTCTTGCTATGCAGTTCAAATTCATAGTGATCCTCCTGTCTCAGCTCCCCAGAGCTGTGATTACAGGCATGTACCACCATACCGTCTTGGTGGCTGGATCAGCGCAGGGCTGGCATGACATATGGTGCCAGGGATTAAACCTGGGTCCTTGCGCTTCCCAGGCAGGTGCTGAGACTGCTGAGCTATCTCCCCAACCCTGTGTTTTATTATTAGAAGAGTTTATCTTTTAAGAAACCTATTAAAGATCTATAGATAAAGTGATATGATGTCTAATATTTGCTTCCAATAATATGGGAGCAGGTAAAGGGTGGGAGTAT